AATGATCTACATGCTGCATATATTATCTTCTTGATATTTACATAAACAACTAACCATTAATGCATCAAAAACGTAACCCTAACTGCATCACAAAAATAATTCTAACGCACCTGGCTTTAACGTTCCCCAAAAAAGGCAGGTGCTGCATAAATTATCTTCTTGATATTTACATAAACCACTAACCATTACTACATCAAAAACGTAACCCTAACTGCATCAAAAAAGTAATTCTAACGCACCTGGTTTTAACGTTCCCCCAAAAAAAGGAATTTTAATTTTGTAAATAAACAAAGTGCGTTAGAAGCTATAGCCATAGGCTGTTGCTCATTATATGTAAACTTTCGTTCCCGACATTTTTTTTAATTAGTGCACCAAGGTTCGCACGTGTTCGGATGTATTTTCGCTTTTTTCTTCTTTCGCACGTGTTCGGAATTCATGTCGGAACGATCAAATTCAAATTCACTGATTGGTTATTTCCTTTTTAGGAGTTTGTATTACCGACACATTATGTTTGATACAATAAATGATAATAGCTGTAAACTGTCGGGATCTTGACCTTCGGGATCTTTGATAGTCGGGATTGGGATTTTGAATGTCGTGGTAAATCCAATTACGATCGTCGGAGGTAAAAACATGGTCACCAGATTTGTTACCATTGTTTGCTGCGGGTCAGAAGGAGTTGCTTATTCTGGAGATAGATCAAACCTAATCATCTGTGATTGTTGTATTACATTAGAGGCTGACTGCTTTGCTTTTGCCTCCGGAATTTGAACACTGAGTTTTGACTTCTTTGGAGAGGATGATAAGTAAAGGTGATACGAGATCCCGTTTGTATCAATTTTGTATCAATTTGTGGAATTTGAGGCATAAGTAAGCTCTGTGTATTAGAGCTTGATAACTGAGAAGACGAATGGTTGTGGGTACATCGACATGTACATTGGGAGCAATAGAAGCTGGCGCCTGCATAGATACATTCGTAATTGGTAAAGATATGGGTGTTGTAGATTGACGCATGGCTTGAGTAACCTGTGGATAAAATGGTTGGGTCTATATTTGTGCCCAAGCAGAAAATGTTATTCCAATTATTCCAGTTATGAATGAACAAATTTCATTATCAAAAACAAAACAAAAAAAAAAAAAAAAAAAAAAGGAAGAAAATTTCTGTACCTCTTGAATCGTCCAGTCATGATTTAACAAAAGCGTTAAGTTGGGGTGGCCGATCATCCAATAAAATCAAACATACGTCTAATCCCATCTATATTACAGATTTTTTTTTGTCAATAATTTTTTATTACATAAATTATGAAATGTTACCACGCAGTGATAAGGTGCATGCTCATTTCTATGTATAACGGCATTTAGTAAACTATATTCGAAGCGAGACCGAAAATACATTTTCTAAAAGATTTAAATAGTTATTCAGCCTTAATTGCGCGATAAATTAACACCAAACCTGGTAAAAAGAGGTCTTAACAATTCTTTTACAAAGTTAATATATTTGTACTTTATATAGTCTTACTAATTTATATTACATTTTAAACAAATGCATTAAATTTTATATATATCAATCTAAAATATATTTTTTAATTGAAATTTTTACTATAGCATGTAAAATCTGAAAACGTAACTTTGTTAAAAACGCAATAAAGAGTGAAAGATGTTAAGATTGAACAAAAAAATTTATTATTAAGTGTTAAATATCCAAAAGTATTTTACTAATCTTTTAATATAAAAACTACGACATAATTTTTTTTGATCCAAAGATCTATACAGTATTATACAAAAATCATTGACTAAACATAGGTTTGATTCTTGTTTGTTTGTTTGTTTGTATGCGATTTTCTAGGTTGGTTAAAATCTCAATGAGATTCTCGCGTTTGGCTTCGTCAGTCTCGATGTTCGTTCTAGACGACGGGCCCGAGCCAGCCAAGCAGTAGCCGAGGCTGGGCATCCAAGTAATCCTTGGACAAGGACAAGGAAATCAGACAGTCTTGTCGTTCCGTCGGCCGTCTAATAATACAACCAGCATGAATGATTCCTTCCCAATAAACTTCTAAAAATTGAAATTGCTGTAAAATACAAAATTATAATTATATTAGTGTGGTGTGTTTACTTTTTTATATAGTCGAAGGGAAAACGTAACAGACTCCTACAAAATCTGTAGGCCTTATTGTATAATATAATAAAAGAAAACTAATTTCTTTCTCACAATTAGTTAACTTTTATTAATATACCTGACAACAAAGTTACATTGGTGTGAAGGAGAACCATCATTGCTTTTAGAATAATTCTTCTAAATCAACCAGTTGAGAAAACCGAAGAACACCCCTTTGTTAAAAAAAAAAAAAAAAAAAAACTCACCATTTCTTCTGAGATACAAAGATTTCAATAATTCATCGATAATTTGCTTGTTTATGACTCGTGTACGAAAGAAAAGACATTTTAAGTGTGTAAACTTTTTTGGAATAATTCATGCTTGTGCGAAAAAATTATGAAACTTCAAAAAACTGTTATACGACTGATAACCTGTTCGTCATAAACGAACAATAAATCGTAGCTCGAGTAAGTACTAGACATTTTTAATAAAAAAAAAATTTCGATTCTGTTACCCTTATATAAAAAAAAAAAACAAGCTCACGTATTTAAATACGTAAAAATGGCATCATATCAGTTACCACATACTAGGAAAATGCGTAGCATTATCACATCATATGATGATTATCATATTACACAAACACGTTAACATGCATGTTTTTTTTGTAGCATATTTAGACACGCGGCGTTGGGGCTTCCATTAATCGTAATAATACTGATAGATTTTGGTATCCAAAAAATTGATTCACCTCGTATGCAAGCTATTTTTTTTAAACAATTTCTGTAGCTAACGATTCGCATAGTATAATAAAAAGTTACAGTTTAATGTTTTTCATTAATCATGCATTTTTAACTATTACATTAGCAGAAATTACTCAAAGATTCAAAGATTAGTAAATATTCAAAAAAATTGATTCACCTCATGTACGTGCTATTTTTTTTTTTGGCAATTTTTACAATAAACGATTCGCATATAATAACACAAAAAAGTTACAGAGTAAAATTTTCGATTAATGTTACAGAGTAAAATTTTTCGATTAATTAGACGTGTCGAAGCAATTTTGTTCCAAACCACCTGATCAGTCATGTAACATGCTGGTTACGTATTTGTTAATCTTGAAATTCCACTGGCTGAATAATGAGGCATTGTTCGTAAAAATTTGACTACGTAAAAATCTGTACTATTTATTTTTACTATTATACCTAATATGGATTTTATTAATTAGTACGTATATCAGAAGCCCCAACGCGGAAAATTATGTTTTTGACATGATCACGTTCATAGCGTTTATAAAGGTGCATCCATCTTTGGCCAAATGCATCAAAAACGTAATGTTTGTATCACTTTGCATAAAATTTGATTAATAGATA